TCACTCACATGTATACAAAATTATACAAATACATGTATAGTTCGTTGATTTTCCCAGCGAACTCAACCAGCCCACGGCTGTTTGACAGGTCCTCCTCCAGTGCAACCCAAGGCGAGGCAGAAATACCCTCTGGTAAACTGACAGTTTGCTATGGAACATCACCATCTTTAATAGGTAATGGATATAATTGATATAATGATGATGTTGACTGGGAATGGTTTATAGCACCTATAAAAATTATGATTTGGGGGATGGTTTATTATTGTTTTACCCACATTATATCAATCCAATAGCATAATTTCTATAAATGGACCATTTTTCAATAGCTATCTTAAATTACCAGAGGGTAGTCAATTTTAGATTGGTGAATATGATGATAATCCATGGGTCAATGCAATTCTTTTTTCCCATCTGAAAATTTAACAAAGCCATATTTTGGCATTATTGTTTCAAGATATGATGTTTCATGTGTGTCAATGGGGAAACCGATCATTCTCTGATAGATTTATTTGGGACTATTTGATGGGATAAAAATTCACATATATTATATATATAATATATATATTATATTATATTATTATATTATATTATATTATATTATATTATATTACTGTATATTATATTATATTGTATTGTATTGTATTGTGTTATATTCTATTATATTATATTCTATTATATTATATTATATTACATTATATTATATTATATTATATTATATTATATTATATATAGCCAACAACAATGAGATGGCTTTGTCAAAAAAGAAGGTGTATGCCCCCTCGGAATCCCTTTGGGCCCAACTCTGGGGCCTTGGCTTCCAGTGCAATTCATGAAAGGAATGCCTCGGAAATTGACCCAGGAAACACCAAATGGGTAAACGGGAACATGATCTATGTTCATGGTGAGTTTTCCATATCCTCTTCTTGATTTACTGGAGATTTTTATTTACAAATCCCCTGCTGCTTCTTCATTCCACACGTCTGGTGATGTCCTGTGGCACTCGGTTTCACGCTCCAGCCGCTCCAGTGAGAAATTGCAGTCCATCTTTTCTTGTCATAGTGACAACTTGAATGTTTTTGTTTCTTTTTGCAACTTGTGATAGTTAGACCCACAGTTTTGCTGGCGATCAAATTTTGTATATAGTTGATATATATATAACTTTACTTATTCAAACATCCAAGTTTGACGATAATATAATTGTAAATTATCAAACAAGCATCGTCAAACTGATGATGTTAGATGATATTTCTTGGACCATCCCAATCCCTCAATTTTTGATCTTGTTTCATACGTCAAGTGCACCTTTGGCCGCCACGCCACACCTGCCGGCCAAGGCAATGCCGTGCGGGTGGCCTGGTCTGCACACCAGGGTTTCTCCAGCCAAATACCAGCAAATTGGGGATTAGCCTTTGGCAATCAGACATGGGTGGCTGGGCAATCCAGAACTAGCCATGGAGGTTTAGTTCTCGAAACTCATCGAACTAAATGGTGGATTGTCCAGCCATGTGGCTGATTAAAGAGGGTAAAGCAGTAACAAATGGGAGATTTACCAGGATTCCACCAGCAAGTCTGGCAAAGATTGCTCCTCTGACATTGGAAGATGGTCAAAATAAGCCTCCCCTTCTACTGTGAACTGGGAAAGGTCATCAACAAAGGTTGACCTCTGCAGACCAAAAAAGCAGAGTTGACAACTACTTTCAATCATAGCCCATGACCTCTGCAGACTATAAGAACAGAGGTCTTTGGGGGCAACATAAATACATGTATATATATATATATGTATACATACACATGTGTAACATATATCATATCCATATCTGCGTCTATGTCTATATCTATGTTTGTATTGGGTGTCGATACAAAACATCCTTTTTGCCCGCATTTTCTGACCATTCCGGCAAGGTCGGACATAGGGTTTGTTGCCGTCCTCTTGCGGATAGGATTTCTGGTGCCCAAAGCAGGGTTTGATTGTCCGAGCAATGAGTTTGTGGCTGAAACGGCTCTTGGAATTCACCATTCTTCACCACAAAAGCACCATCATTCACCATTATTAATGATCCATAGATTCACCCGTATTACCCAGTATGAACCATCATTAACCATCATTAACTATCGTTAACTATCATTAACTCATTAATACCCCTAATTTTCACCATTTTGGTGGGCCATCAAGGCAACCAACACCTCCAAAGACGCCACCTCCAGGGCCCGTTCATCGGATGGGATGGGAGCCCGATGGGTGGTTTCATGATGGTTGATAATGGTTAATCCTGATGAATCGATGGATCATGAACATTTTTTTTTCCTGATGGTGATGCTGAATGAGATCATGAAACTTTTTTTTTCCTGATGTTTTTTTGGATGGTGATAGTGAAGGATGTCGCTATGTATTCAACAAGAAGGGATGAATTTGGTGGATTGTAGTTGGAATAATGTGGGAAAGCCAATCATAAACTTGCAATTTTGAAGGGTTTGTACCACCCTTTCAGGTGATTTTTTTCGCATGGGATACTATTGGGTCGACCACATTGAACAAGTCCCAATTTCGGGGTTATTTTGAGGTTTTAGTAAACGAATCTGAATCAAAACAGGGCAAATGGCTTTGAATAGTTATTAGTTGGGAAACTTACTGAGCAGTGCGGGCCCACGGACACTTGAGTGCCCACGGCCGCCAAAAAATGGCAGGAACATTGTCGCTGGGCAAGTGGCAAGTAGAAGAAACACCGTGACATACAATGGAATTTCAACCAACAAACTGGCCAACAAATCTGAATATTACAGTAACAAATCATGATATAATTTGATGATTGGATCTAAGCAACACGGCCGATAGAATCTGGCCATAATTACGTTGCGACCGTTGCGACCGTTGCGACCTCACGCCGGCCGACCAAACCAGCTAGGACGATGGGGATTGAACCCACAAAAACCTACCGGGTTTTGCCAGCTGATTTGGCCCAGGGGGACCTGGGTGTTGTGAAGGCTATCATGACATTCTTACAATTGGATGAGGTCAAATTTCCGTAAAAAAAAACATCGTTTTCTCTGTGAACTTTAACTCGAAACCCAATGAACCATGGGACGGTGATTTCACATGGGATCCAGTGAGCGTGGCCATTGGTTTTATTATGTTTTATTGTTGTTGATAATCCCATCCTTAACAGGTTGTATTCCCAATGGTTGTTGATTCTATCTCCATAATTCTCGGTGCAATCATGTTTACCCCTAGATTTGCGGTTCGAAAAACAATATTTTCCCCTTCAACCAATCCTTCAACCAATCATTGACATGGCAGTCAAAACCCTGGTACCTTATATATATATACATATATTATAGGTACCCTAGAATCGCTGGGATTCATGGATGTTGATTCCCCCGGTCACATGGTGATTTTTCATCGGTTTTGCTCAGGGTGGCTCTCGTCATTCCAAAGCCCCCGGCGCCAATGGTGGCAACACCACCAGGTGGGGCGAGACCACCTGGTGTCTGAGTAAACCGGTTATTTTTGCAAGTCCTTTTAACAGATACAAAAGTCATCTGCCACTATTTTAATGCGATCTTAGTTTGTTTAACTTTTATGGGCTTGCTTTTTGGAGATTTGTAGAGAATGTAGATCATTCAGTTACATCCTTTCGCTGTGAGGGAACACAAAAGCTGCATTTTTTGGGGCAGGGCATCTAAGTCACCAATCCTGGCTATGGTTTTGTCCTTTGACCAATTTTGATCCATGCCGTTGATGGGAAACACCTCACGGATGGATGCTAACATCAACAGTAATACTGTATACAAATGATAATAAATGGATGTTTTGTATTTTCCCTCTAGCAATCCATTGAATTGGCTATGCGTCAAGTCAGTGGGGACCTACCCACACAACTTGTCATTTTAGTCGAAAAAGACTTCTCCAAAATTGGGGAGTTGAAGATTTTCGCAGCCAAAGATATCCCGATCAAAGCTTCACCAGCGCCCTGCGGAGGTGGAAAGGGCAAGGTCCAAGACTCAGGGGATGTGGAGGCCCAGCTGTCTCTGCGCAGCCGAAGTCTTCGGGTACCGCCATGGTCTAAAACTCATTTTTTTCATCGAAACAATGACATATTTTGGGGCAGACTGTATAACTCATATAAGTTTATATAAGCCGTCTCTGGAGCAATTTGTTCCATGTGCATCCATTGCTGATTGCTGCATTATACTTCCATTCTCAGTCGCTTTTCCCAGATAGTACTACAGATTTGCCCCCAAGGAAATCCTGGTTCAGTAATGAATCTAATCATTGGGGTCCCATATATGGGGTAATCAATTCATAAAGTTCTGGTTGGTGGTTTCAAATTTCAACTCTCCCGAAAACAATTGTAAAAAAAGACGGGTTCATGTTAAGGTCAAATATGTTAAGATATATGAGTGGGATATGTGCAGGGTAGGTGCCATGATAGTGCACATCAGGCCTGGTGAATTTGGACACTTTTGCACACTTTTGGGCAATTTTCATATTAACATAGAACCCGGTATGTTGCCATTCAGGGCGCTTGACACGGAGATTTCACTAGATTTGGGGATCCTAGTTTTGCTTTATAACTGCTGAAATCATCCATTTGGGTTTCAGGTTAAGCTTCAAATCACCCTTCAAGGTAGCAGATCGATTTGTGATGACTTGTTCAAATTGCATGTTAGCTGTTTCAGAGTGCACTTTGGGTTCAGTTCGGGTCCGCATTGGGTTCCATGTCAGTTTTCGAGTGATTTTATTCGAAAAAATAGTTATACAGTATGATTTCCTGGGGAAAAAACATCCACTCCACACCGTAGCATTGTGCCACAGTGGACATTAGGAATGCTATGCAGTTCCACGATTTCAGGAGTGACATTTCTGGATTTTCCAACAGAAATGGGATGAGGATCCCGAATGAGATTCCAATAGAGCAAAGTTTCGCCATTGAATCACCATTGAAACTCCACCGCATCCGATTTAATACTCAAAATTTTTGGAACCTCACTTGCCGGCCACCGCTGTGTTTTTCTATGGCTCATCTGTGCGGATTTCGGCGCCAGAAAAGAGTTGACCGCGTCCCCAGCAAAGGTGCCGGGCGAAGGGGCGAAGGTAGAAGGCCAGGTCAAAATGGTTTTTGTTTTTGGTTTGGGGCAGAGTCAATCTTGTTTGCTTTTCCAAGTTATTTGTGTTCGTCTTCTTGCCTTTGTTTTTCTTTTGCGGGGCAATGTCAATTATTTCAGCGGGGGGTTTAGTTATTGATCACTTTTTGGGAGAACTCCCAGACGGCCGCCTTCTATGTGGTGGCCAATCATAGTACCCTCGAACAGAATCACCGATGGAAAAAATAAGATGAAACAATGGACATCCCCATCCTCAATATTGAGACATACCCATGTACATAATCATATTGTTGATCATGTTTTTGATCACTATATATATATATATATGCAAATGCAATATGTATATACATTACGTTACACTGCATTGCATTACGTTACATTACATTTTGCATTGCATTGCATCGCATCGCATCGCACTGCAATACAGTACATGACATGAGATGACAGGACATGACATTACATTACGCTACGTTGCATTACACTACATGATATGAGATGATAGGACATGACATTACATTACACTACATTGCATTACACTACATGATATGAGATGATAGGACATGACATTACATTACACTACATTGCATTACACTGCATGACATGAGATGACAGGACATGACATTACATTGCGCTACATTGCATTACACTACATGACATGAGATGACAGGACATGACACTACAGCACATGACATCACACCACACTACATGCTTTACATTACATCACATCAATTCACTTCACATCAGGTGCTGCGGGGCTGGCATGGAAGCCCAGGACTTGCCCTTGAGATTTGAAATTGCGAGATTTAGGATGGTAAAATGGCATGTCAGAGGGAAAGGCTGATTTTAGGAGGAACAATTCCAATTTTAGTAGGGCAACTGCTGATTTCATTGGAGAACATTAGGATAAATACCACCCAACATACCTGTTGTAGTAGGGAAAAATGCTTCACCAATGGATGGGGGCTCAATTTTCACACACACTCTTTGGATTCATCGTAATGGGTTGGCAACCTATGATTTATATCTATACATTGTAATTATTGTAATCTGGGTAAATTATGACGACCTCACTGCGACCTCACTGGAATCATGGTTAAAAAGGGAAATCATCCCCAATTGGCCTTATTTCAGGTTATTGAAATATGATAATTGACCCAGATGTATAATTGTATACCGTATCCCATACAATATATATCACTTACGATAAAGATGGTGATGTAATACTAGCCATGGTTTGTGGCACCAACTCGACCAATGGGATTGTGAAATCACCATATATCATGGGATTCCACTGTAACAAAGGGGGTGTCAAGGGTGTCAACCCCAAGTTTACTCGGCTGAGGTAAAAACATGTGTCGTAAGAATCGCAGAAGGGTTTTCGAACCATTCCCCTGTGGACAGTGGAGCCTACAACCGTCCGTGTCACCGCAGAAAATTGGTTGCTTTCAACGGCACGTAGTCCCACCCTAAATGTTTGGGACCCAATGTACTATTTAAACATGTTTTTCTCATGGAACCCACCATCAGAAAAAGAACCAATTTCCAGCGCCTTGTTGCTTGTTTTCCCAGGAGTCGTGGTGACATATGAACTAGCCCATCCTGTTTTCTGGGCTCCCCTCAACCCATTTTTGACATTGGAATCGAGGTGTTTCACCATGACGTGCATTACACCCTGGCACAGAGACGATAAGAGGCGTTGAGTCCGTTGCACGTAAATACAGGAAGCCTTCTTCGTATGGATCACGTCCGTACGCACGTAAATACAGTTGTATGTAGGTATATGTATGTATGTATATACATATATCTAGGTACAGTACACTAGAGAACCACTTGTTAGTTGGTGTCATACGAATATGGGCTACCTGCTTCATTCAGGGATTACCATAATCCGCTTTTTGGACTACCTATTGAGCACCGAGCAACATGATAGTATCATGGAATGGTATAGATACGATCTGGTTAAATGTTTTTTTTTCACCATCTACTATTCGAATATGTCATAAGAACCTATTGACTAACCATTCTGATTACAGTGGAATGCATACGAAAAGGGAGTATCTAGAATCATTCACTATGAAGTGTGTATATATATATAATACTGTAACCATCATGGTTCTTTATCACGGTTGCAATGAAATGGGATACAGTAACAACTACACTATCCCCCAACTAAGATAGACCCTGGGCTGGAAGACCATTTCCCTTTTTTGGGTTGTGATCAGGGTCTACGTTAGTTGGGTTGACTATATAACGTTTTTACAAGACGTTTCTTCTTTTTGCCAGTTTCGACTGGACATTTGTAAATGGTTGAATTTCATATCTCGCAAAAACGAACACACAAATCAAACATAATCAAACCTTGTTTCCAAGGCCGCCTTCCCCAAAACCACACGAGGCCTTTCCTCCAACGGACCGACACCATGCTGCTGGATGTCATCCGGCCGAAGGATGTGCCACGTGGGCAGGCCGTCTTTTGCGACGAGAAACCATGGCATACCATGGCGTATCTGGGAGATTGCAAGGTTTTTTTGGAGCAAAAATTGAAGAAACGTGAAGAACACAGATACAAAACTATCCTCATCCAAAGTACTTAGAAGTTAGAAGTCCGAGTCCTAATAGATGTGGGAAGCGAGTCGTTGAGAGGTTTGTCAGAAGCTCTCGGCCGGTCTCGTGTTTTCCAACTGTGTGGCAGATGCAGGTCATGTATCCCAAGGACTATGACAAGTCCTTGATGACAGAGGACGCGGATGACGGTCATTGAAATGTAGTAGAGTACCATTTGTTTTTAAAGGATGATTGAATGATTTTAAGAACTTCTTTGAAGAACAATAGATGATTTTATGATCTTCAATAGATCTTATGATCAGCCATGTCGTTGAGATGGACATCCAGCCTCCCCCTGGGCATTTTTGTGGATCGAAGTCTGGGAAAACAATGCCATGTTTACCACCCATGACTGGGAATGGTAAGTTTATACCACCTGTTTGTGGTGATGACTGGGGGATGGTTCTGAATATTGTTTTACCATGTTTTACCCACATTAGGTAAATTACATGATCACTATTATCCATTATCATGAGCCATGGCTGAAAAATGTCTATGTTTTTCATAACCAGAGGGTAAATCCCATTCGATCCATTCATATCCCCATTTCTATTGCTTCAATCCACCATTCGATCCCTGCTGATCCACATGGTTGCGGATGGTTTCGGCACCTGCTATCGTCCCAGCGATTTTGCTGTTGAGGAGATAAAACTCATGGGTTTTGACACATGTCAGACATAGGCATATGGGGGTTTCCTATGGGTACCTCAACACGTGGATGGTTCATAGTGGACAATCCTATTAAAATGGATGATTGAGGGCGGGTACCCCTATTTTAGGAACCATATACAGTATATACATATATATATATATATACATATATATATATATTACACATATACACATGGTTTCCCCAACCCAATCAATATCGCAAGCGACCACATGGCTAACACCAGATATCAGGGGAGTGATCTCCTCAACTGGTGGAGCTAAGAGAAAGTGGTACCAACGGCGGCGTAGCAGTCTGCAGGACATTCCGAGATGTCAACCGACCTACGACCATCTCAAATATCTGGAGAAGCCAGACATGAGCGTCGCGGCCTCGGCCACCAAGGGGTTTTACCAGCATCAAATGACCGGTCAAGGACCTGGGAAAATAATGGCGTCCCAAGTGGATCCTCCAAGAGTTCGCTCCGAAAAGAGGGAAGCCCGGGACCTCCCATAAAAATCCACTGCGATGAAGCGTTCATCACAGCATTTTCCCTATAAAAATGGCCACACTGGGGTGTGAATTCCTTATTTTCAATCAGGTGAGTTCACCCCATCAAATTTCTGGTTGCTTTCCCATGAACAATCCCCGTTCAGTCCGAAAAACCGTCGTTTTCCAATGGTTATCACCCCAAAGAATGGTGGTGCCCCCTGTGATGCTTGGTTTCTCAAAATCCCCATGAAGTTTCATTAAGTTCCATGAAGAATCCCCATGAAATCCCAATAACCCTCTATTTAACGTAGCTATGGAGAATCACCATTTTTAATAGGTCAATCATCAAAACTCATCTACGAATGGGCCATTTTCCATAGCTATGTTAAATAATCAGAGGGTAAACCATATTAATCCCAATGAAAAGCATGATAGAACCAGCATTTCATCACCATTTCCCTATAGATTTCCGTATATTTCCCATGAAATCATGACTAAACTACCATGAAACCGCCATTTTTCCAGCAATTCCCGTCCTGATGGTGGCCTTCACCAGGTGGGCTGCACCGACCCGGTGCACGCAGGTGGCAAGGCGCGGTCCTACTACGCCCGGGTACCTGGCACCAGCCGGAAACCCATGGGGGAACTGGGGGTAGCCCCATGACTTAGGACACCTTCATACAATCAATATATATCTATATCTGTATCTATCTCTAGATCTATAATGTATATCTATATCTATATCTATATCTATCTATATCTATATCTATATCTATCTCTAGATCTATAATGTATATCTATATCTATATCTAGATCTATCTATATCTATATCTATATCTATATCTATATCTATATCTATACCTATATCTATCTCTAGATCTACAATGTATATCTATATCTATATCTATCTCTAGATCTATAATGTATATCTATATCTATATCTAGATCTATCTATATCTATATCTATCTATATCTATATCTATCCATATCTATATCTATCTATATCTATATCTAGATCTATAATGTATATCTATATCTATATCTATATCTATCTCTAGATCTAAAATGTATATCTATATCTATATCTATCTCTAGATCTATAATGTATATCTATATCTATATCTAGATCTATCTATATCTATATCTATATCTATCTCTAGATCTATAATGTATATCTATATCTATATCTATCTCTAGATCTATAATGTATATCTATATCTATATCTAGATCTATCTATATCTATATCTATCTATATCTATATCTATATCTATCTCTAGATCTATAATGTATATCTATATCTATATCTATCTCTAGATCTATAATGTATATCTATATCTATATCTAGATCTATCTATATCTAGATCTATCTATATCTATATCTATCTATATCTATATCTATCCATATCTATATCTATCTATATCTATATCTATCTATATCTATATCTAGATCTATAATGTATATCTATATCTATATCTATGTCTATATCTATATCCGTATTTTTTTTAATATAAATCTATATCTCTATATATATATACATAGTGGGAAAACCAATGATAAACAACCCATTTGGGAATGGTTTATACCACCTATTTATGGTGAAATTGTGGATTCTTTATTATTGTTTTACCAACATTATATATATATATAATGTATCAACCAGAATGTTTTTCCACCTCCCATTTTTTAAACCAGATGTATGATGTGCTATGTATATATGATATATGACAAACATATCTGACGTACTGGTATATGATACAGCATGTATGATGTGGTATATATATATATAGATATGTAGGTATGATGTGGAGACTAGATAAAAGATAGCTTTACGTACATGTATATTCACTGTAAAATGTACATATACGTGCGTATTCATCCACATATTCATGTATACATACATGTATACAATATAACTATATACGACATCTGTGTATATATGCAAAACAAGTATGTATCTCTAAGTAACTGCACCTTTGCAACAGGAAGGGTAAGCCGTATACGGCACACTCCATTCATGTGGACCAGCCCTCATCGTTCGTAGCTGCACAGATGACACAGGTGATGCATCACGTTGGCACTCGATGGTTTCAGTGACAGGGACATAGGTCCTGAAACAAGGTTGTAGAAACAATGTATATATATATACACACTATATACTGTGTATATATATATGTATATGTATATGTATATATATATATGTATATATATACATACTACAAGTAAGACCACCCTTTTTTAAGCATCAGCCTTGTTCATCAAAAAACCTCGGGTTTGCCTCATCAAAGTGGGAATAGAACTCAGAAACCGTCGTTGTGTTGTTGGCATTGAAAATTTGGTCAAAGACCGGTCAAGGGTTGGATGAATTCGCTTTCGCCAGTTGTTGATTTGTGAGATACGCTTTCAGACCATGTGCTAAATGATGGAAACAGTGCATGGCTCCAGAAATTTGGGCGCTTTTGTGTCTTACATATCGTATATAAATGGATCAACGGCACAGCGTTCTGGTCGATGGTTTCAATACATTTCAATTATAGTTAGATGGAATGTTTTGAGTAGCTTTGCTCAGTGGATAATTTCGACTGGATCTAGCTAAAATACAACGACCTCACTGCGGCACTGTAAATCATGCTTGGAATGACAAGTATCCCGAAATATCCCAATTGACCTGATTTCAGCTTAGTGAGTAATTATATACCCTCCCCCAAATTAACACAGACCCTGCCAAATACGAGGTTGGAAGACTAGTTTCCAAAAAACCAGGGTTGATCTCAATTTTTGGGAGGGGATCTGCCATTATCTTCCCACTTTCCCACCATTTTTCTTGCAAAAACAACCACGATTTTCTGTTCGGCTGCCAAGCTCAGGCACCCATGGACCGTCGTCCCAGGGATCTGAGCCTCACCACGGTGGGGGATGGTGAGCTAACGGGTCATGGTTGATGATTGTAGTGGTGAATAGTGGTTAATAGTGGTTAATAACCTGACAACCATTAGTGATATCATGGTTATTAACCATTTATTAACCATTATTAACCATTAACCCATTAATGATGATGAATGATAGTGCTCGACAATGGTTCACACAATGGGTGATAGTGGCTAATACTGGTTAATCATGGTAAATTGTGATGAATGATTCTTAATGCTGGTCAAGACCCAAAGACTGACCGCAAAGGGGGATTCAAACGAGCCCCAGTTTGCTGTTGGCTTTACCAGATCATAAAATCGGTGTTTCTTGAAAGGATTGATTTTTGCGGCGAACTGGAGGATGGATGCTTCATTTTCGCTGTTTTGAACATGAATTTCGTGGGTTCCATAGGTGGTTTCCCTGTACTGAAGAAGACCAACAGGTCTTTGGGCGTTTCAAACCGCCAAATTTGCGGTTGAGGGCCCTGGTGACTCATTGAAGTTGACACATACAATATCAATGCAATCGTTTCTTGTACTTCAAACTTGGCCCCGCAAGAAGACTTGGCCCCCCCGGCCCCCCCCCCAAGAAAACAACCTGTTCCAATCAAACCCAACACGTGAACATCTTCGAATAAATTTCCTTAGACTATTCAGGTGGTGCCACTTCCCCCAAAAATCAGCAGTTTTTCTGTGTTACAGGCGGATATCGAGCTGGCAATTCCTAGAGGTGGACAACACAAGGGTTTCCGCGCTTGGCTCAGTGAACCCCCTGTTCGGGACACTGATGGGTCGCCTTTTTCGTGGACCTTTTGGGTGGACACTGCCCTCAGGTCATACGGATCCAGTGTGCCCACGCTATGAGCTGCCATCCTCCTACCAGCATGGGCCCCAAAAATATGGGCCCTGGGGAGCACTGCTGCAGGTGTTGGAATTGTTATTCATACCTCAAGAAATAAGGTGCTAGACACAGCACCACACACACAAACACACTTGTGATTGACATGTGCCTATTGCCAAGTGTGGTCAATCATGATGTGAACGACAGCTTTTTTACTAAACGTGTTTCAACGTGAACATCTCAGAGCCATGAAGATCCACAGAAATCCACTTTGTCACACGGTGCTGAGGTTGCCTCCCCCAGAGATGCGATTCAATGGTTCCTGGCTGAGAAAATGGGGGCGGGTGCGCGGAGATGTGGCCTCAGCCGTGTGGGTAACATGCGGCCATTCCCTCATTTGGTGTCGCCGGGCAGCCATTTGAAACTACAAATATCCAGCTTCTCCTGCACCCAAATTCTGATCCAAACATATTGGAATCTGCAAGTCCTGAAATTTATCCCATATCCCAAACAGTATATAGTGTATATATATAATACATATAATATATATATATATATGTATTATATATATAATACATACATATATATATAATACATATATATATAATACATATATATATAATACATATATATATATATTGTATATATATATATTGTATATATATATGTATTATATATATATACATATATATTATATGTATTATTATATTCATATATTATATATGTATTATATATATATATTATATGTATTATATTCATATATTATATATGTATTATATATATATATTATATGTATTATATTCATATATTATATATGTATTATATATATATACAATATAAATATATATATATATATATATCCCATAGATATCCCATGAATATACCATAAATATCCCATATCCAATCTACCTTTTAGACATGACCCCCGCCTTGACCTCTGAGGTCGTCATTGCACGGACAATTCGGATATTGAGAAGAGTCATCCCAGGGTCCGCTGGGAAGTGAGTTATCTCACCATTTTTAGGGAAACTCCAGGTACAAAACCGGGTAAATCGATGTTTTAATGGGAAAAGGAGCTATATGCAGATTCAACCAACACTATAGATTCGGGGTAACTAACCGTTTAACCATATTTACTAGAATCACATCAGAATGCGTCAACTAGTAGCTGGATTGATCAACCAACAATGAATATGTGTTAACCAACCACCAATGGGACCTTCCAATTTGTACAAATTCATCCTTTTTTCCCCCAGAAGAACGCAGGCAACATTTTACCATGTCAGGTGCTGGCTCCAACAAGGAACTACATTCGAGACCCCAACGAGGCACGCATTGTTAGTCGTTGCTTGCTCGCATGAATACTGTGTCGATTCAAGAGTGAAACGACATGTAAGGACACATATAGCTATACCTTTATATATATATACATACATACGTCTTATATATATATACTGTATATATGTATACACGCACAGCTAATACATAATATATATATAGATCAAATACTATCTACATAATATATTACACTCTATTTCACTATATAGATTAACAATACTACTACTACTACTACTGCTACTACTACTACTGCTACTACTACTACTGCTACTACTGCTACTATATACTCGTACTCTTACTTGTGCTGCTACTGCTACTGTCACCAATACTAACAACGATAATAATAGTAATACTAGTAATCATAATGATAGTAATAATTGCAATAATAGTACTAATAATAGTAACAATAATCATAATCAGCATATTTATCACAATGATAATGATGATAGTAGTAACTTCTCCATTTTTGACATTCGCTCAGGGCCGAGACATCGAATTCTCAGCTCCCAACTTCGTGTGGTGTCCGAGGGGCTCACATTGCACCAGCCTGCAATTATTGGAAGGGTTGAAAGTTGAAACTATTGTAAACCTACTTTCCTAGATCAACACCTCCTATTCACGAAAGCTAGCGTCAGCTAGCTGGAGTCTTCTTGCTTTAGCAAGTATTGGGGGGGCTGCTCAAGGACATCACGTGATTTTTCACGCGAAAGGGGGGCCCCCCCCCTCCCCCACCACCACCACCCACCACCATCATCATCATCATCATCATCATCATCATCGTCATCATCATCGTCATCATCATCATCGTCATCGTCCTCTCCCTCGTCCTCGTCCTCGTCATCATCATCATCCTCGTCATCATCATCATCATCATCATCATCATCATCATCATCATCATTCATCATTCATCATTCATCATTCATCATTCATCATTCATCATTCATCATTCATCATCATCATCATCATCATCATCATCATCATCGTTATTCAATTACATTTTATCATTATTGGCAATTATTGTCATTATCACGAAAGCTAGCGTCAGCTCGCTAGAGTCTTCTTGCTTTAGCACGTATTCCGGGGCTCCCCAAGGACATCACGTGATTTTTCCCGCGAAAGGGCCCCCCCCTGCCCCCTCCCCCATATATATCATTGGTATATATCATATATCAATATATCATTGTTGCATCCTCGTTGGGACGAACACTGCCGCGACACGATGATGACAGTCCCTCCGCAACTCACCTCTTCCCTTCCTTCTTTCTCCTACCCCGCTAGCTTTCGTCATCCACCCCCGGCCTCAAGTTTGGTTCTGAAAACGCAAATTTGATGCTCGATCATAAATTTGCCCTTCTGTAAACACTGCTATTTTGGTAGCATACCCCATTTTCAGACACCTCTGTGGGCTTGGCAAGTTCGTAAAACGGAACAGGATTGGGGAGCTCACTGGGCGCAGCAAGATTCACAGACCCTTCAATGGATGTTTCAGACGGAATCACAAGATCACGGTGAACAGTGAAGGTACTTTAAGTACTTTATGTTGGCTCTGTAGTGACAACATCAAATTGAAACCCAGACTGAAAACCAGTGGGCAAATTTGCTCATCTGAAACTTGCCACGTAGGGTTCTTGGCACATCCATATATCAAAAAGTATCTATCCTGTGTCGGGTGACCACCAAACCCAGCCTCCGTGTTGCTCCAAGGGTGAAAAACTGAAGACTCTGAATGCCAGATCTCGTGCGATGCCCCAGTGGACACCATGTATCTTTCATCATGTCTTGAGCACTCCGACAATGTATCGCGTATTATGGGCATGCGGCATGTGCGTACAAGTATAACTGGGATATGACTACAAATGCTTGGATATCTTTCTCTTTTTTTTTCTCTCTCTCTCTATAAATGTACATGGTGGCATATGTATATGTATATAGATACATATCTATGTGCACACATCCACGTACATCCTGAGGAGACATCCCAACATCTCAATCGTACCACTTTGATACTTTAACCAAGGGGAATAGTACACTTTTAAAATTCTGTCCACTCCTGGATAGGTATATAATGGTATATATATATATATACATACCTCACAGGCAAGTGAGGGCCCAGGGCACCCCGGTCAAAAGTCCACCTTCAAGCCGGGCTCGGTCCTGGAGTCCTTAGGTCCGGATTTGTCTTTGAACGTGCAGGCTGAAACTGGGTCCTGGTGGTGGGGGAAAAGATCCGATGGTAGATCCTGGCTCAATCTTGGATAGTTGGTTTACCCTCTGGTAAATTTCTTTTTGGCGATGGCAAACGGCCAATCTTTATAGATGATTTACATGTAAAAGTGTTGTATTTATACTTCCATCGCTATGTTAAATTACCGGAGGGTATCAAGTTAACATGCGTCTCATCCATCATTTGAAAGCCAGAATTGCTCTGTAGTGACAAGTCTAAGAGTCGCCACAGATGGGCTATGTACTGAGCTGCTTCTAGTTTCCATGATTTGGTTTGAGTGAACTTGTTTTTGACCTCACACAAGTATCGAATTGATTCACGTAGAAACTCATGGTTCCCAGTTGGTGGGCCATGAAAGATCAGCAGCAGATCAGACTCTTTGGTGTTTTTCCCTCCATCCCGAATTCCCCAATGACTTTCCTACTTTCCTGGCTTAAAAGGCTCCATCAGCTAGTAGTATTGGTGTGGTTGAGTTCCTCAGTTTGTTACATCCCTATGATACCCCTACTATCTCAGACCATCCGTTTTCGATGGGTTCAACTCACCTCTTTTAATCCCACTTGCTGAATTTCCCAGCTAACCTGATGGTCAAATCACCATTTCTCTCCTGAGATCTCCATTTCTATTCCAGTCATATTTGATGGTGAGCCATTCCCCAAACATGGGTCGCTATCCTCTTTTGGTCTATCCCATTGATACATATTGATACCCTGGTATTTCAATGCTACTTCTATGGCGTTGATTTTTGCTTAGGGGTGAACCAAGCAGAAAACGGTCTGACGAGGTGTAAATCCCCCCCATGATGGCTATATAAATCCTTCATGAAATGGCTCTTCAAGTAGCATGCTTTTGGGATGCGAACGGTCAAATTCTTGACGATTCCGCGCTTTTCCCATTTGGAACTTTCTTAAAAAACAACCGAGGCTACCACTCTTCACGACAGCTATAAATGTTATAAATCGCTGGGATTGATAGATCAAATTATAGGGTGTGATAGATTTTGATCCCATGGGAACTTGGGGTCAGGACATCAATGGTGTGAAGCCGGCGCGGCCCCGGTGTACGGACCCCTTGGAGCCCACCTACAAGGCCAGTGTCCACTGGCAGCCCCCGAGAAAAAAGTGGCTTTCACCACGTGAACTGTAGAAATAACATGATATATCATAAATCTTGGTTAACACATGTTAACGCAGTGATAGACATTTTTTTTGGCGATCACAAGTATATAAACTCAACATCCACATGTTTCTAGCCGAAATCCAGCTTTTTTTGCTGCTTCCCGAGCTGGGTTTTGCAGGTGCCAACAGCTGCCACCACGTCACTTCATGCCATCTACGCAGAGGCCTGGGAAGGTGATCGAGATGGATCCATGGATCATAGCTATGCGCACTATGTTACTTTACTGGATGGGATAATTATGGGATAGTCATGGGACAAGTATGGAAGAATTCGAAGTCCTGAGCGAGGAAGATCCATTGCCAAGCTCTCACTCTTGGCTGGTTGGTGCTCGGTGGTTTAATTTTTCCTTTGTTTGGTTGAATTTCCTGCCGTCCTGGTACAAATGACCATATTGGGGCCTTTGGAAAGATACCCTCCGGCAATCAAACATGGCTAGCTGGGAAGTCCCCTAGAAATGGAGGTTTATAGCTGGGAAAATCACAGAATGGGTCGATTTTCCAGCCTTTGATTTCCGGAGGGTTTCAAGGCCGTTGGTGGCTGTAGGTTAGGATCTTTCTTATGAAAATCCCATTCCCCAACGATATGAAATAACCAAAAAAAAGGATACACGATTAAAAATGAGGGCTAAAGATGGTTTGAACATCCTGACATGGGGAGATATAGACACCCCAAACAGTTCACGATCCAGTACAATGCACTAGGGCCACTAGGGTCTCTTTTGAGGGGTTCATCATGTCTCGGGAAAGCCATATTATTCTTGTCAATCGGGATTGCAGCGCCACTGCTGTATTTCAGCAATGTCAGGAGAAGGGCATGGGCATTCAGTTGCCGAATGTGAAGGCTTTTGGGTTTCCGCGCGGGATAGATGGTGGGATCAGGGTCTCACCGCTGACCAGTCCAATTTTGTGTGAAACATGGAGTTTGCAATCATTTGTGGGCTTGTGCTAACCCATTTTCGCCACTGTCTATCGAATTTGAAGAAGCTTTGGCTACTGGCAAAGTGCTCCGAAAAGAATATATAGTGATATGGAACACATAGTGACAGTTAATAGTGACAGTTCCAATGGAATCCAATAAGGAATCCAGTGTAATATATCGTGACAGTGTTTCAGTTCCCATGGAATTGCTATCTCTGCCATGGTGTATCCGTTTTTCTTCGGATCGCTGCCAGGTGCGCGAAATTGGCCCTGTGGGGATCCCCGTTCCAGCTTTGATCGATATGTATACTATTTAGGACCGTTATATCTATCTTATCTTATCTTATCTCATCTTATCTTATCTTATCTCATCTCATCTCATCTTATCTTATCTTATATTGTCTTATCTTATCTTATCCTACCTATCTACCTATCTATCTATCTATCTATCTATCTATCAATCTTACTGTATATATACATATATTATACCTATAAGATTACATATCTACATATCTACAGTATATATATATATATCTGTCTATATGTGTATAATGTGTATATCTATCTATCTCCGTGTGGTCCGTGTTTCTATATGTCTCTATGTGTATATGCACATAGATATCGATAGTCCAGATGTCCATCTCGTACATTCTGATCAGTTTATAGTGAACAGTGTTTGAAGTGAAATCAGATTAATCCGTTGTTATACCTAAATCTATAGCCATTTACTTTCGTATATTTCTATCTACTTGAATATCTGCATCTATATTTACATATATATATATATATTCATAGCTGTATATACGCATGCACATGCTGCACATGTATACTTGGGAGTGTGTCCCAGTTGGTGAGTGGGTAACATCTATCGCATAAGCCAGCTATGTATATACATATATATATATATACATATGGGTTGTATAGGGCTTAAATACCAGATCAGGTTGGTGAATGAATATCATTTAGCCAGACACTCTTTTGCGTCGAACACAAAAGGATCACCCCTTAAACAACCAGTGGTTTCTCGGCCCCATGGCTAATGATTTAATTTTTGAAGGAAGATACTTGCGGGAGCCCAGTTTGTAAGTGGTAGACAACCCCCATATTGCTAGGGTATATCCCGGGCTAAAAACATGGTTATTCTTACCCAATTAATCCCATCCTTCATATATTAGACACACCCCAGAAACCATGGTCTCTAATCGGGGACACCACATATGACTGGGACCATGATTCATGTGTGTTTAGGATGAACGAGGGATGGGTGACCTATACCTAATACTGTCCAGGTAAATAGTGAGAAACAACCAGCAAACTGATCTTTTTTTATTGTTTAGCACGTTTTGTATGGCCAATTTCGTTTCCAAAAACCTGATATATCTATGGAAGACATAAAACTGATGACACTTCATACAACTGTTGGGTTTATGGTAGATAAAGCCTAATTGAACCTAATAATTGGGGTTATAGCTAACTATATACTATATACCTAGTAACTGTTAGGTTTATGACATTTAAAACTACTTGTATCATATTAAAGCTGATTATATACCCAATAAGTGTTGGGTTCTCATCACTAATTCTACTAATACATAAGGCTACAATAGATTTGTGTATTAGTGATAGATAAGCGACCATATTTCTATATCGCTATTACCAATTCAATAATGGTAGATCTATCGTTGCGCCTAAGGTCAAGGGCTCCACCTCGAAGGTTCTCCACTGGGACAATGGCGAGCCACAGCTCAGTCTGCTCAGAGAGGTGGTTCGTGGGGCTGTTGGGTCATTTAACATTGGCATTTCCTATGGGATTTGAAGGGAATTTCAGGGGGCTTTAACGGGATTTTAAGGGGATTCCCGGGATTTTAAGGGGATTTGATGGGATTTAAGTGGATTTTAACGGGATTTAAGGGAGTTAGGAGTAAAGGGATTTAAGGCGCTTGTGAAGGGGACCTAAGGAAATTTTGAAGGGATTTAATGGGGAATGGATGGAATTTATAACATGGGATTTCATGGGGATTGAATGGGTTTTCAGGTCTATTTAATGGGATATGGTGGAATGTAATGGAATACTAGCAGCAATTTGGGGTATTTGGGTGTGTCTGAACACCTCCAATTGGCAATTTTCATAGGGATAATCATGATTCATCAATGGATGTAGCACCCTATGTTCAAACCAACCGAGGGTGAGAACTCCAAGAAATTGTACGAATTGAATTCGTTGGGGAATACCCCAAATTTGGATATGGATTGTGCCAACCATTTCTGGCATGGGGACAGCTTATTTTATTGTCGGGTTTACCACATTAATAATTGCACTATCCCGTTCATGCCGTTGAAATCATTTCATGACATGAAATTATCCAACTTCTAAGTTGCAACTTTTAGGTTGGTTGATGATTACGGTCAACGATCAGTTTTATTTTATTAACAGGGGTAATCTTCCAAGTAGGCGTGATTTCGAAGGGAACTGGGGGATCGGTTGGAAGCATTTTTTTGATGGAATGGTCGGTGTAAACTGGCGAACGGTGGATCAAGAACAGATGCGATGTACCGCCTTTTGATAGGGAAATAGTGTGACATAGTGTGATATTGAATTAAGGGTCTGTTTGAACATGTTTTTTCCCCACTCAAAGACTGGCTATTTTCATGTGGAAAATCATGGAACATCGCAGGATGTCGCTGGTACCGTGCCACAACGCTGGGCGGGGGCCCCGCCCTAGGGATGAAACGGGTTTGTCCATTGGAAACCAAAATCGCAGGTCATTTCCGCTGTGACACCGCATTTATGTAACACGGTAAGGGTAGAAAAGATGAACTTTGCCGAGTTTCAATACATTTCCTTGGTTTTCCGTCTCAGTTTGATCAAGCTGAAACAAATCCCGCTTGAGTGTCTGCCGTCAGAGCTTTCAAGCCATATATAGGACCCCTTTTTCCAACACCGATCTTTCTTTTGCATGAATTTAGAAAGTTATGAGCATCCCAATTGCCCATCTTCTATACACAACTATAAGCCAGCTATAGTTGGGATTTGGGATATTCTCCTAATATATATAATATAATATATAAAATATAATATATGTTATAATATATATAATATATATAATATTTGTATTATAATATATATATATGATATAATATACTCTAATATAATATGATATAATATTATATTTATATTTATATTTATATATTATACTTATATATTATACTTATATATTATACTTATCTTATCTTATCTTTTCTTATCTTTTCTTATATTATATTATATATATATTGTATACATAATATATATATATTGTATACATAATATATATATTGCGAATAGAGTGTAGGCTACGTACGATTGTATATTCACATATAATTCGACACTCTAGGATCCAATGCCAAAGGGGTATTTCAAACTGGCCTCTTTGGCTCAAGACCCACTGCAGCACCAGAGCAAAGAACTGCCATGCGGAAGCCGCCATCCGAGTGAAGTCGTCACCGAAGCACTTACTTCAACCCCAAGTACCAGGACATAATCGGACAGGCAATCCCCGATTCGCAGGTTATCAGCCGTAGGACTCCTACGGAGCCTACGAGCGGGTAGCCGCGGGCCTTACAGATGACTGACAGGATAGCAGCGATAATGCATTTTCTTTCTCTGGACATGCCGTTGCACCAGCTGCCGGCACGCAGTCAAATTCTTCACAGAGTATCGACACTGGTGGAAGCGATGCCTCAGAACTGAGAACAAGCCTACCCAGGCGACCTCTGGTTGCTCCTAGAGGGAGACAAATTTCGACAATGCAAGCAATTGAAGATAGGGACAGCACACCTGGAAAGAGAAGATCATCTGCACGACAATTGTCGCCTCCGATGACTCCAAGGACCAAGGCAAAGACTACGTCGTCGAATCCGCCTTCACCGATTCAGGACGCTACTCCATCAGGGACAGGATCTTATCAGCAAGTGAACGCCCCATCGAGTGGTAGCGACATCTTCACTGCCTATCAGAGTGAATTAGCTGAATACAAGACATCACTGGAAAAGGCTACTGAAGAAGAATCCGTACTTCAGGCAAGATTGGCCGAGACGACAGCTTATGCCTATCAACAATTTAATTTCCTGGAAAGCACCACTCATCAAGAGATGATGTCGATGACCGAACAACTCCAGATGCTGAACTTCGAATTACAGGCTGCACAACAAGAAGATGAAGGTGCGACCTACAGGATCGAAGAGTTGGAAAGGTATCAGACTATGTCGAATGAAGCTGCATCTCATTTGGAATTCAAATATTCACGACTACGTTCGGAATTCGATGAACAAATGGGACAAGCGAGCGCAATTATGGTACATGTGGGCGCTGATGCAAATGCTCACATCAATCAACTCAGACTGGAACTGGAAAACGCAGAAATGAATGCCAAGCAAGAAGCTCTAGCGGTCGGCTACGCTAATGACCAGACATGTGCTTTATAGATCGAGATGCTCGAGGTTGCCAATCAAAATCAGACAATGAAGCACACCATGTCCATGAACGTTAGACGACTGGAAACTGAGCTTGATGCTGCTGACATGAAGAGGGATGAGATCATGAAGGAGTTCCGTAGTAACATAAGATCTGAACATGACCGTTATGCAGAATGTGAACATCACTTAGCTTTAGAAGAATCGCAACTTCGATTGCAGGTGATCCACAATGAAAACTTACAATCTCGACTAGCGATTTCTGAGAACAGGGTTTCTGAAGAATCTCTAGCTGAATCAGGCGGCATGCGGGACATGAGGATCATGGGACTACGTTCTGAACTACACATGAAACAAAGTCTTTTAGATCGAATGCAACAACAACTGACTGAATCGAAGAATCAGTATCATGAACTTTCCTGTCAACAAGCCAGAAGATCCTCGCCAAGCAGATCACCGCATGGAGGACCACTATACGAGATGTATATGCAGGCCGTGCGTGAGCGTGACAGCTTGAAAGAATCCAAGGCTGAAGTTGACAAGTTGTACTTGCAGAACAGAACTGAACTCATTGACACTGAGGACCTGCTCAAAGTCTTCCAGCGAAACTTCGATGAAACTGGTAAGAAATATCAAGATGCTCTGAACAAGATCGATCACATGAGCAACAATCCGAATGTGACGAGTGATTTGTTCGACAGTTTGCACAATGAAATCAATGACAGGGACACAGCTATTGCTCGCCTTCATACTGAACTTGAAGCCCAAAAGGATTCTCTTGAGCGTGCTCACAGGGATGCAGGTAAGTCCATCAAGATGTTGAACGACAGAAGACTCGTGATCAAAGGTGCGACTGACTATTCCATTCCTGAAAGCCACTTGACTGAGATGCATCAATTGGCCAATGAGCGTTTCGCTGAGGTAGAAGAGATGTCGAGCACTATTGCTGCCCTGAAGTTGGAAAATCAAGCTCATTCTTCTTCATCAAAGAATAGACCGACTACATTACATGGGTACCCCAGTAATGCTATGCCTCGGAATGAATGTGAAGAGAAGTGTGCCAAACTGAAAGCAGAGTTGGACGAGATGAAGCAAGAGAAGAACAATGAAGTTCGAAATCTTCAAGATGAGTTGAAGAAGATGGAAGATCGGAAAGATTATTACAAGAACAATTTCTCTCAAGCTGAAGATCGCGCCAACGATGAAGAGCAGGAATACCGAGCAGAAGCTGAAGCCTTCGAAAGGCTCAGGAACGAGTACAACACCAATGTCAAGGAGTTGGAGAACCTTGAAAGGGATAGATCCAAGTCATCCGTATCTCTAAGAGAAGCAGAAAAGATCAGCCTCCAACCCTGGCCTAAGACCACCGAACTTTCATCCTGGAAGGGAAGTGTCGTTCATGAAGTTTGTGTTGCAAGTGGAGATCGAAACTATGAAGATTGGAAAGCGTGGCTAGCTCCGTGTCTTGCAGATCAACCTGACTTGGAGGTCTGGCCAAAGCACCCGATGTGAGATTCCAATCCATTGATGCCAAGCTCTCCAATGCCTTGAGGAAAGTCATTGACAATGCTGGGGACAAGTCCATGCAAGTGAAGTATGACATGTCCATGAAGAATCAATTGTATGGGAGAAGTGGGGACTTCATCAAGGGACGAGAACTATTCGCAATGATACTGATTAGCTTCAAGTCACCTGACCATACTGAAGTTCTCTACAACGCCCATCATTTGTATATGTTCAACTACTATGGAGATGACCAGCTTGAGGCCTTCTACAACAAGTGGCTTGACATCGTATACAACATGAAACATGATGATCTGCCTTCCAACAATTCCCTGCGTGACACATTGTTCCGGAAGATTGAACACTCAAAGCTTATGGCCTTTGATATCAACCGATACAAAACCTTTGACGAAGGGCATCCTGAGAAGACCTATGTTTACCTAACTGGTATGATCAAAGGATACATAGCAAGAGGAAAGCAAGAACGACTGTTGAAAGATAGAGAACGTGCAGTGAAACTGTCATTGTCCTCTAACAAGACGACACCTGCCTTAGAAGATGCAGACAAGCCTGCCGCTCCCGTCAAGACCAAGAAGGAGAATGAAGCAGCTGCATCGTCTACGGGTGATCCTCCCAAACGGCCTAAGGCGAAAGCGAAGAGTGAAGCTGCATCTGTACTTCCTACACCTTCTCCGAAATCTCATGCCGACAAGAACAACAAGAAAGGCAAAGGTGGGAAGGGAAGATCATCTTCACCCGTTGACAAGAAGAAGATTTTCTGTAACTACTTCTTCAATAAAGGAGGATGCAACAAAGGTGACAAATGTCTTTACAGTCATTCTCAGAAGGTCTATGATGCCAAGATGAAAGGTAAGAAAGGCAGAAGTGGAAGTCGAGATTCATCGAGAGGGAAAGGTAGAGGAAGTTCATCTTCAGCTGGACCCAAGAAGAAGATATGTTGGAATTGGCAAAAGGGTACCTGCACGTTCGGAAGCAAATGTAAATTCCTACATGCAGATCAATCGCTCAGCATCTTCAGAAAGAGCCAGCAAGAAAACACCAAAGAAGAAAGCGACTCCCATTACCATTGATTCCTTCTTTGACAGCGACAATGAAGATTCTATGGATTATACCTCACCGAGGATAGCCAGCGCAAAGAAGTCTTCTGATGTTCGCAGTATCTCATTTGATCTGGAACCTGAAGTGCACGAGATTGCAATTGAGAACTACCAAGAGGGACTACCCAAACGTATGTATCGTGACCCCAACAAGCAGTATGTCTTCTGGAAGGTCGATGGTTTGACCGACGATCAGTCCAAGTCCGACAACACACTTGGTTCAGTCCGAGCACGGGCCAAAGCAATCATCATGGACAGATGCGGACTCCATCGTTTTGTTGATGAAGTTAGAATCATTATTGGCCCCAAGTTCGACATGTTGATCAAGCTGGACAATGATCGTGATGACTTGACTTTTATTGAAGAGCTTATTGAGCACGAAGTTGGAAACTCCCTCATGAAGTCCAAGAACATAATGTGCATTTCATTACCAGTACAAGCCAAAGATCGTAGATTCATCCTGGATTCTGGCAGCGGACACGATCTGATTTCTGCAAGGAAAGCCGAAAGAATGAACTTGAAGCAACGAACTTGTGATCCTATCATGTTCCACACCGCCAACGGTTCAACTGCTACTCAAATGGAAGCGGAGATTGACCTGGGAACCTTTGATGTGACCTCTCATGCTTATG